ATAAAATTCTATAGCGTATTCGGTAATTGTCTATAAGTTGACACTAGAATATTGGAACTGAGTAGTATGATATTTTATTCACCGTGTTTGGTTTCTTGTAAACGGATTAGGGAAAAAAGAAAAACGCCGACGACGACGTGTAAATATTTTATTCCGGTCGTTATATTATTATTACGATGATCGCATCAGGATGTGTACATTTTCAACATCATATTATATTTAAACATATTTGACAAGTATAAATCGCGTTGCTTTAGCTACTCAAATCGTGTGTAAACGATAACACGCGTAATAGTATACGAAAAAGAAAAAGTTCAACTACTTTCAACATCATATTTTTTTTTATTATTATTTCATTTCCGAATGATATTTTAAACTTATAACATCATAAAACACTCTGAGTAAATCGTTTTATACAGCAGTTTAATATTATTTAGATATTATATGTTAAAATGACAGTGCCACAGTATATAATGATACTGCTAGTAAACTTTTCTGCATTTCCATTACAAATTTCTATTACAATCGGTGGGTTGGACTAAATCCACCTGACCGCACCAAAAAACGACGACCGATTATGATAATAATTTATGATGTACTTGCGTAAAGCACGAGTTTGTGATGATAAATTAATGATTTCCATAGGGAAAAAAAACGTTAAAATTATCTTTTTCCTCCTTTATACGGCTATACCTTTTGATTGGCAGATTATCAGATCCACCAGTTAATAAGTATATTATCAAAATACGGACGTTACGAACTTTTTGTTTTTTATTCTACAGTCGCAATGTTTAAAATAACTATCGTTAATGTACGAGAGTTGTCTTATTCTTTATACTATGATAAAGTATCCTACTATGAAACTTTAAAATAAGAAAATTATCTGTATCTATACAACGGTGTTTTTTCGATATTTTAATTTTTAAGTAAAGATATGTGTTACGCGCATCCTGAAATTTTTCGAGTTAAGCCTGGTTGATCGGCTACATAACGACGATGGTTTCTATCGTGATAGTTGGGAAATTCACAATCATGATAGTAATTATCATGAACTCATTGTTGTGTCAATAGGACTACGGTATAATGTTGTCGAATCATCATTAAAGCAACTATCACACTATTATGATTTCGCGATAGTTGATAGTTACAATCACGAAAGTCATATAGTAGTTATCACCGTTTGATCTCGTACCGTCATACTATCATTTTTGTGTCGCATTTTTACAGATATTTTTATCAAAGTTTACTTTATTAAACATTAAATGCGTTCTATATAGTATAGAATCTATACTATCACTTCACCGTAGTATCATCAAATGGACGTTATTTCTCCGTTAGTAACTATCTTGATAGTCGATATTGGAGCAACTTTCACATTTTACATAGTTACTTAGTTTCTATACGTGTGTGTACCGGACTTGACACAAGTTATTTTTCATAATAGGGCGCTACAATCCTCGATGTTCACCTACTTGATTTTACTGTAATAATAAATGCATTTTTTGTGTATTCAAATTTTACGTCCGGCAATTATGTATTTAAACGAGTAATAATTAACAACGAAATTCAAGATAATATTGAATTTTTTTCTTTATAAATACCTACACACAATACTATAAATTTTAACAAAATATTAAAAATCAAAGATGCGTCAAAACTTTTCCAACAAAACAATTTGAACGTCTATAAATTTTTTTAACGTCTTTTTGGCGGCGAGTAAATAACTTTGGATAATATATTCCGATTGAAGTTTATTCCATCGTGGCTGTGTTAAGTTAACCCGGAATGGCCATTCTAATCGTTTTCAACCGTACGAAAATGCAATTCCGGTGAATTATAGAATAATAAAATTGCGGGCGAGTCGTATAACATAAAATAGTAAAACGTCGCGGGCTAAGACAAAAAATCGCATTTTTATTGTGAATTTAATATCTAATATAGTTTATCGTGCGAGTTGAAAACATTTCGAATTATTCATACCGCCGTAATACGGCGTTATTACGTTTTATTACCTATCTACCTAATCTATAAAAAATAACTTCGCCAGTAAACGTTTTGCCAACGATTGTTGGTGCGCGACGGTCAGAACGGATACGAGTAGTACGTTGAACTTCATTGGTGAACCCGATTATTAATCCGTGCCAAAAGCACGGTACGACCGGGTACCTTGTATTAGCCAAGGGAAGCCCTTAAAAAGGACCCGGAGGGTTCGGGGCAAGCCCCGGACGCATGACAATGCATCAGAGCGCGGTCCCAGCAACCTCTACCCAATTCACCTACCGCCTGTTCACGGGTTCATTCGGCGTCGGTTGGGTAGCCCCTGGCTATTTAACCACTACCCAACGGAACTCTTAAGCCCCTCCGAATCCAATCGCCAGGCACCGACCACAGCACGAGACCGCGGCCGACACCAGGATTTCCGTTCGGCGCCGATAATGGGTCGACGCCGGAGCTCCGGAAACCACCCGGACTATTTTTCATAAATGTAAGAATTTGGACATATCTTGACACCCAGCCACCAACGAAGCGGATAATCAGTCCGCACCGGAGGTAGTCAGGAGTCTACCGACACGCACGTGATAACACAATCTCCGTTGCCGGAGGTGAGTGAATCGCCTGATAACATCCCACGATGTTCCGGACCCAACTATCGGAACGCGAAAAGACCCGCGAACGACCATACGGTAAGGCGAGCCCGTAGTCTCGATCTCTCGCCTGATACAACCTTGTTGGGAAAAAACCCACACTCGCCCTCCCAACCAGAATTCGGAATAAATCCACGGCGCTACTAATATCCACCGCCACGAGGAGGCCAGTACCGTCTGAGAGGACCGGGGGTAAAATAGTTCCCCGGACTTCCTAGGAAACAACCGAGAACCGACCAAGAAACTAATCCCAGCCGATTCCCTTAGCCGTGATTCCAGTAGATGTTTAACTTCATCGATGTGTTGTGTGTTTTATCTAGATAAATACATTTGGTTTTATCTTTTGTCGTGTCCTGCAGAATCTAGATAAATGTGAAATTGATGTTTTAATTCAATTGTGTATTCATAATTAAATCAAACGGATAAATTGATATAGATGAGACGTTTTAATTCGCAATATACTTTACCCGTATTAGACCTCCCTAATAGATAAAATTATTAGTGTTTAACGATAAAAGAACTACCCGGTATACTAATTTGTAAGTTATCTACACCAAACATACAGTCGTTTTCCAGAAATCTAGATGTGTATTGAAACTATATATGACACTTGAGTTTTTTATATGTGTAATGTAAAAGATTATCTTTTTATCTTTATCAAGATAATTATTTATAATTCTAGAAATTATCTCCAATCTTTATCTAGATATTTAAAAATGCATATCTTTGTACAACATCATTTTTAATAATATAAGTAGTGGGAATAATCTTCGTGGCTTAAACCGAATAATTCTGGTGATCAAAAGCCGATAAATTAATTTATTTTTGAAAGGTTGAAGCATAATCGAGAGAATTATTTGCCGAGCAATAAGCCGCGTAACAAGAAAAAAAAATTAAGGCACATAATACGCAATATTAACTGAACTCCGCTCAGAATCGTTTTTCGTTAGCGATGGTTAATCATTGCGTACATATTTACATTACATTTTTTCTCTTCCTACCCAACTTATTACCTACAATAATGTGGCCTATAGCCCACCAAGTGTGCGAAGTATGTCCGTCTTTTTTTTTTTATATATATATAACTACTTATTCTTTTGCGTTCCACGGCCAATAACTTTGTTGATTTTCTCTTTATCAACTATAAGACCTTATTTTCTCCGTGTTACATTCTGATGGTTTACTTTCATATCATTTTTTTAGTACAGTGATAATTTAACCATTAAAAAAATTAAATACATACAAATTACGTTTTTCACCAAAATTCACTGCTTGCAAAGCAATGGAAATGTTTTTATTGTTTTTTTTTCGTATTTGTTACACCTGTAAAAATATGATATAAATATACGCCAATAATAACAAAATACGAGATTATCTCGGGAATTTTTTGCTAGTTATAACTTTTTTTAAACAAGCATTTCAATTATTTTTATCGCTCTTTTTTTTTGAGGGGGGGGGCTGAAACCACCACCTTCTTTTGATTTTCATATGACAACCTATATAGGTATTAACAATTTTATAAACAGATGGAATATTTCATCAACAACTAAATGGAAATCATAAATGTTTACATCAAAATGTATTTAAACTAATACACTCTATTTATTAATGAAATTTTTAATATAGGTTGAGAAAATTAAAATTAGTTAGTCGTTCGATCCCCAAAAATAAAGATGACAAAGAATATTTTCGTTCGTTTCTTAAATTTATTTTAAAAAAATGAATAATTTTCGAGATAATGAGTGCCTTATCATAGGATTGATCACCTTGTATTTATACGTATGTACTATTCATGGATTATAATTAAATAATTAAATAAAGTCATAAATTTCCGTCTTGCGAAAATTAAAACGTCCATGGTTAATTTATTTGATACGTGTTCACTGTTCAACTACTTGCAAAATACACGGTTTTTGTTCTTCCTGGTTTGTCAGTATCGCACTGAATGATATAATCAACGAAATTGCACGTTCGGCTGCATCGTTCGCAATATTACTTACAGTTTTTGAACTCTTATAATGCCGTCAATAAAACCGTTGTTTTGTTTTCCCACATGCTTGAATAATAATTTTAAAAAATCTTGAAGTATATCCGAAACTGTACACATTTTAGGGTATTTTTCGAAACAAAATCACATAATAAACCATAATTATACTTAACAGAATTTACTTCCTTAACACACTTACTCGAGGTAGGATTAAACTCTAATTTTTTTTTTTTTACGCTCGCAATAATAATATAATATGTCGTACACGAGCACACGACCGGATATTTTGTTTTCGTTTTTTTTTTTTTTTCGTTTTTTTTTTTTCTTCTGTTCACAGTCCGATAATGATGATCTCGGAATACACGCAAATGGACTACATCGACGGCACCACGGTGCCGGTGTGCCTGACCAAGGCGAACACGTTCTGGCCGATAGCGTTCTTCGTGATCATCATCGGCGTGTTCTTCGTGGTGCCGCTGTTCGTGCTGGTCGTCCTGTACACCGTAATCGCCGTGCACCTGATGGCCGACCCCGGCACCAGTTGCACGGACAGCGCGTGCAACCAGCGCGCGCGCCGGCAGGTGGTGCTCATGCTGGCCACCGTCGTCCTGTCGTTCTTCGTGTGCCTGCTGCCGTTCCGCGTGTTCACCATGTGGATCATTCTGGTGCCCGAGCACACTTTCCTAGACCTCGGCCAGAAGCACTACTACATCATACTGTACGCGTCCCGGGTCATGGTGTACCTGAACTCGGCCGTCAACCCGATCCTGTACAACCTGATGTCGTCCAAATTCCGGCGCGGCTTCTGCAAACTATGCCGGTCCCGGTGCGGCGCCGACGACTGCGCCGGTTGCAACGATATTCCCATCGGCTGCGGCGGCACTCATGGACGTAGGCGCCGCCGCGGACGCCGTCGCGGCGACGTGTTTCGCCTCCGGCCAACCGGCACGCTCACCACCACGTTGTCGCAGTCGTGCAGTGGCCCACCGACCAACGGTACTATGACGGCTGACGGCTGCACCACCGCCGCTGGCACCATTACCAACGGTTCGGCGCACCACAATAACGACACCACCGCTGCAGCGGTCGTCGCCTCCTCGGTGGTCACGACGCTGCTCGGACGTCACCGCGTCAAAACGTGTCTACCGTACAATGGCGATAGCTACGACTACGACTATGACGACAACTTTCTCAAGGAGAGTTTCGTATGACTCTCGCGTATACTTAATTCGGATTTTTTTTTTTTAAGTTTATATTTTATGTTTTTTTTTTCCATACACTCTGTATACTCGATACGGACCCGATGGGTACGAGCGTTTCGATATTTCGCGATAAGTTATCCCGGAAATTCACGCGGTTGCGATGCAAATGTCGTCCTGTACTTATTTTATTAATCGCGTTTGTATCGGTCTTACGAAAACACAAAATACAATAGTTATTCAACAATACCATTTAGATACTCGAAACGAAATCGAAATTTTATGTAATACCGAAATCATTTTTCACGTTAATTCGGTACATTTTTAGCTATTGGAAATCCGCAAGATTTTGAATAAAGTTTAAACGGATTAATTTTTAAGGCGTGATAGGTTTTTAAGCGAATATTTTCTCGTTCTCAACCTATAGTCCGTATCGTTATTGTTGTAAGATTAAAAAAAAAAAAAGTCCTATATGGTTTGTGTAGTGTTTATACCGGCGACGGGGTCCGTGCGACTGTAATACGATTACAGTTCTCTGCACGGTGACCACGATTTATGATTATGATAATACTAACACACAGGATATCACACGAAAGATGATAAGTTGCAATTAAGTACAAAGTAGACGAAAATCTAAAAAGTTTTTTTTTCTCACAATGACGTTTAACAAACATTGCTACGCCATTTTTATCATGAATCAAAAATAATTTACCTATCTATATCACTGTATAGTAGACCGGCCGTCTCTATTATTTTTTTTAAATGTTTTTAATATATTTTTTACTTATTATCTATACATATTTTTCTTCATCTTTTTCTTCTTCTTCTTCTGGCTACTGCTCTCTCTTAGAGTTTTGACCGCCTCTATATGCCATCTATCTCTATTTTTTATCACTTTTTTCTAACATTTACTTAATATATACCAAACACTCTCGAATCTATATCGTTGTCTTTCGATATATTTATAGTACTGCTACCTGACCTATTCCCTTGAGGCACACATTCGAAAACTGCTCTTGGTAGTTTATTTTCTTATCAACGCATAACATATGATCTGACGGTATAAGGACAAACTTAAAATAAAGCTAGTTCCCATCTGTCGCATCTCTATCAATTCCTGTAGCTATCTATCGATAATTCTTTCGATAACTTCCTGTGACTACATCAAGTATTATTGGTTCGAAAGTTCTCAATTCCCTTTCCGCCATGCTCATTGTCACCCAAGCCTCACACCGCATCCATTCGTTAGAGCTAAAGATGTTACGAACCCTGATTTTTAAAGTCGAACCGAACCTAATCGAACTTTTAAAATATTTTATCGAACTCGAACATTAAAAAAATAAAAAGGTTAGGTTAGGATGAACATTTTTAAAATTGTAAAACTGTACAATTATAATATTTGCGAAAAAACTAATACAAAAAGAACAATTTTTCTTTTTCGTAACAAGGCCGCTCTGTCCCACCACAGACCATCATTTTGATGACCGCGCAGAATCGGCATGGAATGATTTTGATTGAACAGTTCGTCATATCTCTAGTTAGAGCTGGTTTCATTATGACTACATATACATATGTATATGATACTTGTCTACATTAACGGCCATATTGCTTAAATAATTAATCCATTCATAATGTTATTATTATTATTAAGCGTTTATTTCAAAGAATGATTGGTCCCACTGAGCATGCTCGTGTGGGGGTTTTAAAATTGTTCACATTTTTTTTTTCCTTAAAGTTAGTTAATCACAGACTTAGACACTTAAATATCGGATAATATTAAAAAAAAAAAAAATAAATAAATGAAAAACAACAGGCATAAAAAAATAAAAACAAAGTAAACATATGAGAAAATACATAAGGGAAATCAATTATTAATAATTAATATATATTATTTATATAATATATAATACTAAAGAATTATAACATAGCAAACATTATCTTTTTTCTTATAAATAAAACGTTAACGATAATTTAGAGACAGTGTCTCCATATAGGCAATATGATAGTCTTTCAGAAAGTTTTACCGCCGTTGATGACGTTTCGGACGCTTTCGTTTCGTTGCGATTTCGTAGCAAACAATACCGACTCTTATTTAATAACTTATTAAACTCGTTATTTAACTCGCGTTATTTTTATTTTTTTATTCCTGAAATCTTAACCACCTGCAGACTTGTGCATGTTAAACCGATCGAACAACTACTTTAATACTTACACCTATTTAACCAGACATTCCTAATATTTTTTATAGTCGTACCTTTAGTACCGTACACGCACGACAATATGATTATATTATAATGTAGTCGACTCTCGATAATATATTCGAAACCATCGGTGTAATTCAAAGTAATATATATGTTTAAAAATCTCGCGGTTATCATCGAAATGTTCGTACTCGCGGTATAGTATCCGAAGTCGTTTCACCACGACTGCGCGTTCGGCTCTTATCGACAAAACAACAACCCAATTTGCAAAGTTTAATTTTATCTTATTTTGGGATCGCTTAAGTGCCATTTACAATTGTATTTATCTACAAAAAAGAATGGATATGACCATTAAGCCACTATAAGGTTCATTCGAGGACAAAGGATCCGATGGTTTGAGTAAGATGTAAAGAAATAAGGATGATACATGCAGAGTAGTTCTAACTTGGAAATCATTGAGAAATATAACTCGGGGTCAGCCCAAGAAAAAATGGATGGATGGATATTGTCAAAGTAGACGTCAATAGAATGAAAGTATGTATGGGTAGAGAATAGTAGTTCGGAATAGAGTGAAATTGAGGAATGGTGCTATGGCGGCAAAAACTTTTTGGTGGTATTAAATACCATATAAGAAGAAGAAGTACATTTGCCTTAACTCTCGGCAATTCGATTTTTTTTTTTTTCACTATCTCGATAGTTCTAACCTCTCTGAGCGATTTGAACTCTCAACTTATCAAAGTTGTTTTCTGTCCCATTAAATTTTGGATAATGGTCAATTATCGAGAGTCGACTAAAATCTTACATACTATACCTTTCCCTTCGCGGAAAATCATTTTACTATTCATTTACACGATATTGAATGAATCAAGTTTATTGGTACCGGTCGAATATCCCCTCTCCTCCGAACGCGTGCGTGCACTGCAGACTTACGTCGCCGGTATATCGATATATATAATATAATAGTATAATATCTGTCTGTAATTTTTTTTTTTTTTTTTTTACGTACATTTCGATTAACCGAAAATACAAAATTGTGCGGTTAACGCTCGACTACTAGTCACTAAGTACGTTTTTTTATTATTATTTATTTATTTATTTATTTATTTATTTATTTATTATTATATTATCGTGTACACACTATTAATTCATTAAATTATTAAATTGTTATTCTATAATAAACACGATAATTAATAAATTATTATACGTCCGCCCACCGTTTTACGCCCGAAAAAAAAAACTATATATATTTATATTTTATATGTTCTTCACTCGCGCACCATAATAATATTATATTATTGTAAATATTATTATTATTATTATTATTATTATTATTATTATTCAAATTATAGACATAAAAACAATACATACAATATACATACAACCGTTTACGCACGATGTTGGCGTTATTGTTTGTTAGAAAAGTCCGTCGAATTACCTATTTATTGTGTTAAAATGAATTGTGAAATGCGCTTACCGTTTTTTTGAAGTTAAAATTGGACGGTTTTTCAAAGATATGATTTAAGTAAAAAAACAGATACTTTACAGGAGGGACAAAAAACTTCTCAAGATCTTTAGCGTTCACCTGTTATAACTTGAGTTTTCTTATTTTGACTTGAAAAAACTATGCATTACAGCTGACATCTGGTGGTATGCGAAATCGATGTGTATACTAAAGATGACCAAATTCGCTGTAAGCCCTCTTTCTCGTGAAAACCATACAATTGTAATAGTATTACTATAGAATAATATTGTATACGCGTACTTATTACCACTAAGTATTTATCGCATTTAAAATAATACAAATAATAATCAAAAATGATTATTTAAAATATACGTATATGTATATATTATACTCATCTATACACCAATGAATGTTTGTACTTTTTCGAATGTTCCCCATTGTATTTCCTGTGAGTAAAGTGCACCCTCTCGCTGAGACTTCACGGCACACAAATTAGGCGAGACGAAAGGAAACTCAAGTGCACGAGTAAATACACTCGTGTTACTTATACTCAACAAGACGGCCTCTGATGACGATTATTTGCCACTATACTCGAACGGAAATTCGTCCACCATCCGGTGCGTTCTTATTCTGAAATACACTGAATATGAATTATTTACAACTGATAGAGCTGGTGTTATTAACATTTAATTGTGATAATATTTGCCAACGAAATGTATTCCTAGCGAGGTGAGCAAAAATTGTTACAACCAAAACGAATCAATCAGTTTTACACACACGCACACACACACACACTGAGAGAAGTGGAGAGTGAGTGGGAGTGAGAAAGAGAGAGACGTCGACGATTCTAAGGCCGGCGAAAAAAAAATTAAACGGTAGTACTTATTTGATATTTTTTTTTTATTTGTCTTCTTCTTTCTTTTACGCATACTTTTTTAATATTATTATAGGCTTTTATCAGAAAACGACTAGCTGCTTTAGCTAGCAATTCTTAAGCGGATGTTTTGTGGCGCTACAAATTTAAAGTCTCTTCTTATACTTGACGTCTTTTTGTTTTTACATTGCTGGCCTATTAAAAAATATTTGTTTATGCGAAACTAATAATACGCTATTATTGATTTCGATAGACAACGGCAGAAAACCGCGATTTGTTTTAAATATTTTTTTGCGGTGCCGATTTCTTTCCCACGGCGTGGGAGGTTTACGCACTGCCCAGCTTATGCATTATAGGCTTTAACGAGCTTCATATAAACGCAAAATGAAACGATGAGACACGCGCACGAATTAAGAGATGCACGATGCCGAAAGAGAGAAGAAAAAAACACTGATAATAGGTATTTTGGCGGTCCAGAAGTTTCCAGTTCCCAGTTTAACTTATAGCGCTAAATAGTTACGATGATTAAATTCTCAGCTTATTTTGTATGGTAACCATCAGTGTTTAAAAAAACAAATATAAAAAAAATGTAATGACAACACAACTCCTACCCGACTATTCAATTTGTCGACTCTTTTTAAATGGTACCACTGTATTGGTTCATTAAACGCCACTGTGCCAAAATATCGCTGTAAGTTATTCTGGACTGTGGAAACTTTCATCTCCAACTGATAAACTCTCCTTAGGCATCCTGTGTATCTTTATTCGTGGAAATGTGTATACAGTCACGTCATTATTATTATATACTCGTATAACGTTGTACGCGCTTATATTATAATTATTGTTGTCATTTTTATAGTAGTCATTTTTACACGCTTTTGTATGTGCCGTCCATATTTTATTATTATAATATGTCTGCAACAGTCTTTTGCAAAACATTTGGTTGTAGGTATTCTGTAATGGCCTGTTCGTTTTCACCTGATAACCGGGACGCGAGTAAGTAGTATGGCCAATATGGGTTAAATATCTTATACTGTAACAAAAGAGTGGACAACTCCTCTTATCAACGTTTCATAGAACGTGCCATTTTACGAGTATACAGAGGTCTAGTACTATAGAAGTAGAGACTTAGTGAAATAATAACGCTAACGATCTACACCCGGCATTTAGAATAACATTAGAAAACATTACAATTTGCATAATGCCAACGCCCACGGCCTTAGACTATTAAACAACAGAAAACGGTTCTCTAAATAACCACTTTCTGATTATATACATATATATACATATATAATAATAACAATAATATGTTCTCTTGTTTGGGCCAGTCAACTACTAATACTATCGTTTTTCGTGTCTTATCACTCATCACTGTTCTTGTATCTATTCCGCGTGTCCTCGTGTACACATCTCTCCTATAATAATAACGTCTAACCAGTTTTTCTGTGGCCTAACTCATCATCACGCCTTCAGTTTACACTTATAGATACGCCTGTTATCTTCTTTACCATCTCATTTGACCATCTCATATTTATCGCATTTACTTCTCTCCATATCGTCTAATTATATTGTCTTTCTCAATTTTTTTACATTACATTTTATCGTATTACGTTTGCCGAATTATAATAATAATATAAAACACACGTATAGAGAGTCATGGTTTACAATATAAATATTAAAGCTACAGTATACCATAATATTGTCGATAATGGCACATTTTACTTGCGAGGTATGGAAATTAAACAAAAATTAACAATCGCTAATACAATGTATGGCCATAAACGCGTTTGTACGTTTGGCTATCGTACAGTTTTTAGTGGTTCATTTTACGTATTTTAGTATTCGTCTTTTGTGCCATCATCCGCTATTATACAAATATCATTAAGGATTGCGTTTACTCAGCTCGTGTGTGTAATATGAAGGCACGTACACAAAAAAAACATTCGGGGGGTGGGGAGGGGTTCATAAACAATTTACAATAATTTGAATTTATAAAAAACAATATTAAATTGATATAAATAAATTACACAACTATTGATTTTCAGGAAGGGTTGAACCCCTACCCCTCCCTCTGTACACGTGCCTGATAATATGTATACGACCTCGTGAAGTGTGCGATCGTATATATTGTACCAATATACATGTTCATAAAATTGAATGAAAAATGTATCTCTGATTAAAACAATATCCTGTGAAAAATATCTCCGATATACAAAAAAATCTTTTTAAAACATTTCACTTGTATTGAAATATTGTATAATGGTCTTATTTATTTCTTTTTCTTGTACATTTTGCCCCCGTGGCTGACGTACTCGTATGTTATATTTTTATTATTTTACATAAACAAAATATGTATTTCAAACTATAATTTACTGAAAAAAAAAAAAGTATAATATTATACAATTGAGATATTCTCACTGGGGAAATTTTTACTGAAAAAATTTCGTATTAGAGATAATTTTTATGAATTTTATTTGAATAATTTGTTGTGCTACGCATATTATAAAATTCGATAAAATCGGCTTTTAACAATAATACGCTATAAACGCCGCGTGATAATACAATGGTTTTGGGTTTTTGTATCGCTTAGCGTAATATTATAATAAACTATAGAGTACCTATTATACGTTATCGGACAGTTGTCAGAAAAATGATAATAAACCGGGCTCCACTGTTACTAACTGTTCCCCTCTCCTATGAAATCTCGTAATACCATAATTTCGTATTATGGTTTTTGTGCATTATCACCCAGTCACGCATCATGTCTATTTCAAAATGATACTTATCTGACGTGGCATTTTCCATTCTCCCCCCCCTCCCTTAATTTATTTCTACCCCGTAGCCGACGTGACTTTTCGACGATTTAAGGTACTTAGATTTTCGCTCAGCATATTACAATAACTACTTTGGAGCAGTGTAGTGTTCGAACGTAACGGATTTCTTTTTTTTTTTTCGTCGTTGGTGTTGCTGCGGTTATAATTTCACTATCATTTTTTTGACTACAACTGGATCCTACCGCGAACTAGTATAATATGGATTGGCAACGGATCCAATACCTGCAACCGAGTTTTGACACGTAGTTTTCGTGACGGAGGTAAACCAAAACCTGAGACGCTATCTGTCGGTAAACATTAACCGATATTGACTTGTGTAAAATGTAGAGGTGGCGATTGTCGTCTGCGATAACCGTGTCGAAACTCGATTGCACAGCTATCAGCCGCCTGCTTTGTCACTGTCAGTCCGTGTTATTTTAGTGCGTATGGGTACTACCCGTACGCCGTGTATGTTTTTTTATTGCACACATGAACCGCTAACGTCGTCGTTATTGTCGTTTTTACTAAACGGTGTGACGCAGTGACGTGTACGTATAAGAGCTCCGCATATACACTTTGCCCGCTTGTGAACCATGAAGATTAACCGACCGAACTTATCGTTTTGATTTTTTCGATGGGAGCCTGAGCGGCAGTGGCGATGTTCATGAGCTTGCCGGTCATTTCGGATCGGAAACAATTATTTTAACAAAACCAGAAACTTTCGTGTATAAAAATTTGACACAAAGTCTGTGGACGTAATTATTTATGATATTGGTTTTCAAACGGTAGAATAAATCTGTCTCGATGTACCGACAATCCGAGCTAACGGATTCGAAACCGACCGAAAAAATGTCCGACAAGCTTTTTAATATATTCCTACCTACGTGGGTGCATTTGACTTAATTCTGACAGGAACTGTATAAATTGACCGATATTGTACTTGTTGAGAGTAAATAAGACAAAATAATACAAGTCATTATTTTCTCCTCCCGAAAACACGCCACTGCTTTATACATCACTATATTAGAATTATCAGAAGCGTGCTTGTGCATTTTTTTTTTTTTTTCTATCAGGGTAATGGTCGAACAAAAATATTAACTAATAGTGGGAAATAAATACTATACATTTTGATTTTTTCACGTTCGTTAATATTTTTCGAGGGAAGAGACATCGAACCACTCAGGCACGCTCCTGATTATTAGTATATATTGACGCTATATTTAATATTACGATTAGTGCCATGAGATAACTGCAATATTTAGGGCCCGGATTTCAATGCAAAGTGGAATTTTTTTTAAATTTTTTTTAAATTTTTATTTTTATTTTTTTTTTTTTTTTTTCTAAAGCTCTAGAAAAGTTTGAAATTTTAGTTACACATAATTTTATTCATATATATATATACAGAATATTATTATATCGGCACTTTCAGAATTAAACTTTTTTTTTGCTTTTTCGCTATTATTTTGTCGATTTTTTAATAATTTTTAAATATGTTTGGGGCGTTTACAGTTTAGTGTAGCTTTTTAGCGCGGTTTCGAATCCGGGTCTTAAAAATATAAATAACGATGTCTGCGTCTCGATGATTATTAATAAATAACCGCGGCGTTTCAATAACGGTCGCCTAATTCGTAACGCGCGTGTTTCGCGGCACGCGCGTCGTTTTCTTTTCGCAGCCCGATTCTGAGACTGACGGAGTACCACTGGGACGAGTACCTAGACGGCACCTTGGTGCCGGTGTGCCGGACCGATGCGACCACCCTGTGGCCCGTGCTGTTCTTCTTAGGCACCATATCGATGTTCTTCGTGCTGCCGCTGGCCGTGCTGTCCATACTGTACGTGATCATCGCCCGGCACTTGATGGCCAACCCCGGTATAGTCGCGCCCAACACGAACCGGGCGGCGTTGCGGTACCGCAGGCAGGTGGTGCTCATGCTGGGCACGGTCGTCGTGTCGTTCTTCCTGTGCCTGTTACCGTTCCGGGCGCTTACACTGTGTATCATACTGGCCCCGCCCGAATACAACATCATGGAGATAATGGGCATCGAGAACTTTTACCTGCTGTTGTTCTTCTGCCGGATAATGCTCTACATAAACTCGGCCCTCAATCCCATTCTGTACAACCTCATGTCGTCCAAGTTCCGGGACGGATTCCGCCGGTTGTGTGGCCTACACCGGAGTCCGTGGGCTGATCGATACCTGGGCCGCAAGGGCACCGTAACCACGACATCGGCTCACACGGGTGGTGGCGGTACCATCACGTCCGGTACGACCGCTTCGTCGAGCCTCAAGGGCGAGACGGGCGGCAACGAACAGGCGGCCAACATGTACACCAGGATGAAACGAAATGGCGTAACGGTGCAGACTTCGTGTGCTGCAAACGACCGCAACCGGGGCCCTATCGTCAGGCGGCTGACTACGGCAACGGCTGCGAGCATCCTTAAACTCCAACGGCCGCCACACGAGAGTTACGTTTGAGGAGGCGACGCTAGGTGGACTCGGATCACAGGACTGCGATCAAGGTCACCGAGGATCAATAGGATCAAAACGTTTATTTTCCTCTCTCGCCGAGAAACTATTTTCCGTGTAAATCCCGAGAGAATCAGTGTAACTATACAATATCCTCAACCACAAACATTCCCTTAAACCCCCTCCCATATCCCGCCAATAGTATTCGTATACCATGAGGACGTTCCATTTAGCATTGTCGTTTTTATCTCGGGTTTTTTTTTTTTTTTTTAATACATCTCATAATATTATGATGGTGCGTGATTTTTATAAAATTTGTAATATAGGCTGCCATTTGGTAATCAAAAATCGACAGTATACAATTTCACCATAAACATAATTAGGGTAATGTAAAACTTCGAGAATTGCATTCCATCTTAATTATTTTAAAAAAGTGATGATTTCGTTAATTCTTTCCGCGATACTGATATTTAAGTGTTCTATGTTTAAAAATAAAACCCTCCTTTGTATAAATTGAAGGCCCGGACATCGCCGAGAGTGTGAAATCGATAACAGTACGAGATTGGACTGTAGTCCGTACAAATTCGATATTTCATGTAGCCTTCGACGAGGCATTCGATTTAATCCAGCAATGCGGTTCGAGGCGTCACGTGAACCCTTTTCTCCTCCGACTTTCGGTCGGGTTTTCATAGGTATTTATTATTATTACAATTATCCTCTACGCACATATCACGACGTTACATATCTCCACATGAATTGGACTTCCGTTAAAAAATGTCTTTATTTTTAATGTCTAAATAACGTAGTTAAACGCGTTCATTTACACGCATCATTGAGTATTATATTATGTGAAACAGATCGCCAATCCTCCGAGAGACCGTTATCCCCACGACATCACTTTTGTCGTTTTTTCTACCCAAACCATATATTATGCTACAATACTATACGAGTATATGTACGATATTATGAATACGTTTTTTTTTTTATTTTGATAAACGGTATACTGTGATAAAGATTCGACGACTCTATTTACTTGAATTTAATTGAAATTAATTTCATCGCAAAGTATACGCCAGCGCTATCTAGATTACGAAATGTCGGTAACCTCCTGTAAACGATATCAACTAGGAAAATCACTACGCTTCGCATTATCAATTAGCGTCACGTAAAAAGCGATTGATATCATTGCTACCTTTATACGTATATCGTATTAGACCGATAGTCTTGTTGTCAGAAAGATTTTTAAAACCTATTCAAATCCGGTGGATAATCAGTCGGCGAACGCACACCTCAGGGACGTAATAAGAAAGGAGGGGTTTAACCCTCCCTTCATTTTTTTTCAACTCAATGTTAACATTTCAGTATTCATTATTTCTCTCGTCTCGTAATTCATTCCTATTACAAATAATTGTTAGTTAAAACCAACCCCCCTCCCGCTTTATCTATGAATAATCTATGCCTGGGCCTCTGGCGTACCCGTGTGCAATATCTCTTTACGAAATCCACCCAAGGTCTTTGTAATTACAAATGATAAATAATAATTCAATACACAAATAATATAACGATGTGTGTACGTAGTCTTATTAATAATAATTATAATGAAAAAAATCACCAAAACGTTAAAATAATAATATTATGCTTGACTTCATCATTTGGATATGAATGATACGATATTATATTTTATAGCGGCTCGTCCGAGTCGCGTCCGAAAATTGTATCATACTCGAATCGATAGTGGCGTTCGCGGTTTTCCCATCGCTACGAATCTGAGTTACCTTACCGCCTATAATTATTCGTCTAGTTCTTCTCCAACAGACCTCATCTCTGCATCGTTTTGTCTTCAAGCCTTACTCTATATTACCCATAGTCCTTGCCCGTGTGAAATTGCCGTCATTAATATCATGTACCCAAATTATGTAGTTTAAAAAGTTAAAACTTTAAAATATGTTTTGAAACGAGACGCCTTCTTTGAACATATTATTACTATTATTCTTATTAAAAAATTTCAAAAGCCTAAACGGTTCTCTGCTATAATTGTTGTGGACCCGACTCGAACCACCTATTATAAAATATAGGCTTAACATAACATATTATAGACGGAATATTAGGCCCGAGGACTAGAAAGCGTGGTCGCACTAAACGAATCAAGAACGATAGACTGACACTTGTAGACGGGTATGAGAAAGAACAACTTTGCTCCCCGAAGACTTCGCCCATTTAAAACACTCAGTATAACATTTTTCCGTCAGCCATCAGCAGAGTAGTCCTCGAAAAAAGATCCCAGCCACTGTTACGCGTTATTATACTCAATGTTCCGCCTATTCAAATACATATTATAAAATTGAAATAAAGATCAGGGGCGTCATTTCACATTTTCTCGTGACATGCAAATCCTACACTGAAAATTCAAATCAACTTGAAATTCGTTCGTGTAGCATATTTAGGACGAAATCAATGATTTCCATACTTAACTCTATTTTCCAATCATCATATATTCAAATGTATAATACAATTCAAAACCGTACCTACTTCAAATCAATTTCAATATTGATAATTAACTCTATATACAACTAAAATACACAAAAATTACCTGCTTAATATGTTAATTATCAAACAAACAATATATTATTATGTCTAGTGTAGTAAACATAATAAATTAAAACAAATTCATATAGGTAGTAAACTAGTGACAACTCAACCAATAGGTATTTTAATTTTTAAATAAGCGTAATAGAATTACGAGTACGAATCTCCTTCCCCCCCCCAAATCCGGCTCTGAGTACGAGGTTGCCTACCTCTAATCTGAAATTTAAGCAAAAAAAATAATAGTAAAAATTGTCAACGCTTTAATTTAGCATAGCTATTTTTAATCGATAGTCGATACTATAATACATACAAATATTAGATTACTTATAACGATGTTTATATCTTCTGATAGTATTAAAATATTATGCCCAAATCGTAAAAAAAAAAAAATGTGTGTGAAATTACAAAATGAACATTTTGGAGTATAAATTATACAAAATTAACTACATCTGCACGTTTTAGGTGCACTAAAAAAAAAAATCCATAGGGCGCATTTGCAAACCCTTGCGTTCCGCAAATGACGCCCCTGATAAGATAAATGGACTAAGAATTTCGGCCGTATTGTTTACGATACACACTATTATGCGTGAGAGAGACGAACAAGATGCGGTTTTTTCATGACAGAAACAACGTGTATACTGTATGAAACAGCATGGTTTTTTCGGACACGATTCGGACGTGGCCATTTTTAGTATGCGAATCCTAACTATATAATATGTAATATATTATCGTGTAATAATTATTGTACTAGTTCCTTTATTGCCCGCGTGTGTAGTTATCTGATAAATCGATATTGTTTTTATATGTGTAAAGTTTACGCGCGCGATTACGACAAAACGTGCCAATATACTGTACAATTGTATAGAGATATTCATGGTTATTTTGTACGTTTGAGACCACTATAGATGTAGCTGACTGCATCATAGCAGAGTCTCGTAAGATGTTATGGAAGTTTGGCAGCCGTATACCAAGGTGATAAATATCATTGTACTGATTAGCCCGCGAACGATTTGTTTTTCGCCGTGGACTACTATACTTCCTGTACGACGGCATTGAACCTGTAACCAGTGTAGACTTACCGAACCGCGCTGTATTAATGCACGCATAAACATAATCGTTCGCGGGTCAATCAACACAATTTGCCATTTATACGGTGTACGGGTCGTGTCGAGCCTCCCGTCGGGTTAACGGAATACCTATTATAGTTGTTTTATATTGTAAGTGTCTACATTCAATATGTACATAGTAATATACTATTGTAATAATATTATACCCTCGCGCGATATTATTTTTGTATACTTCTCGGTTTTATACGTTTTATACTTTATTTTTATTAATACATTAACGTATGATCATATTGTACGAATAGGTAACACAATATACACGTGACGTGTGCATTGTCGATATTTTTTTTTTTTAGCGATATCATACAATTTAGCATAAAACCCTATTATACAATTGATTAGAATTAACTGATTCGACCTCGATTTGCTGTATGTACAAATATTTTTACCAAAGCCAACCAATATTATAATAAATTATTATTACGTATAACTATTATTATTAAAACCTATGTACTATGTAGGTGTACGTAAACAATAAACGAGACGTCGTGTTGATTTGTACGTTTTTATGCTTAATAATATTATCGAATGTTTCGTTTCAGCGCGCGCGGCGTCTATCTACTTACAATTATTAGTACAAATTTTTTTTTTTCTCTTGGAGTTTTACTGGAGGATTTTGCTGCCATACATTTTGTTCAATTCAATTTAAAATCAACAATTTATCTTACATATTTCTTAAGTTTCAATTAATTTGTATGTATATTGTATTATTTAATGTATTTATGATAGTTTGTATTTTGATTTATCAATGTGGTGATAGTCACAATACTTGTATGGCTACAATAAAATACTTAAAAACTATATAACTTAACTACTCTACATTTACCCGAAAATAAAAATATTTTGAACTTCAATTATATAAAACTCACCCATTAAAAATAATTTGAAAATATTAATATTTGTGTAAACATTATTTAATATTTTAATCATAAATAATTACAATAGGCTGTGAACTATAATAAATACATTACCATGTTAAAAAAAAAAGTATACAGGTATATATACTATATCATACTTCAATAGCAATTAATTACTTTACAATGAAATATAAAAATATGTTACCTTAACTCCTTACAATGATATATTTTTCAATTCCTTTTGAAATATTTTATTAGTTATGCAAAAACATAATTATTTCACCTTAAATTTATAACTGGGAAAAAAAATATAATTTTTTATAAATTGTGTTTTTATTATATTAATATTTTTTCACCTTAATGGTATAGAATTAATACCTATTAAATTATAAAATAAAATATTTGTTTATGAACTACAAGATTGTTTATTAAAAATTAAAAAAATAATTGGTCAAATAAGTTATTAGTCTTAAAATGAATTCAACTAATGAAACAGGCACTGATATTTGATATCTAAGAATTTTCTGGGAACATGTAATGAACGTGTTAATTTTTTTTTAAATGAACACGTTCAGTTATTAGGCAATAAACGTGAACGTGAACTGTATGTGTCATATCAATCTAACAAATTCAAAAATGTATTTTGTAATATTTTTTTTCTTATTTTAATAACTTTTCCTATTTTGCATATTTTTTCCTTTGTAATTACCTAAGCCATTTACGAATCCCACACGGTTTATATTGTTACATAATAGTTTCACCTTTGTAACCTATTATCTACCATGTATTTTTTTTGTTTTTGTTATCTTTTCTACAAATATAATACAAAACCGTTTTTTACTAGATTATGTTCATTTTTGAAAAATATTTTTAAATGTTTTATTACTTTTTATTTTGTTGATTTTCAAGTGCTTTAAATCCCAATCCTTGATTATATATAGATATATACAATTATATAAGATAACTTAAAATTTAATAATACTGTTTGTTAAATGAACCTAAATGAAAAAGCATACTTTTAATACACGTGTTTTTGGTATTTATAACAATAACATTAGCTAAGAATATTTTATTGTGTTTAGACCAATACAATGAATGGCATACAAGAGTACAAGTTTAGAAAACACTTCATTTGGGTTAATTTTGTAATTAATTTGTAAAAATAAATGAAAACCTTCGGAAAATATTTTAGTTTCTTTTATTCTATTTTAAATAAATTATAACACAATTACTAATTTTTTTTTTTATTAGATATTTACAATCTGTACATAATTAATTAGAACAATAAGTGAATGTGATTAACAATGTTTATTTTTTTTTTTTTTTATTTGAGTGACACGAGAAGGGAGGATAGAACCCAAAATTACTTATTCTAGAATATAATTTTATATTAAAATAATAAAATTTGTATTATCATTTAAAAAAAAAGAACTATTCAATGTATTTTATTGAAATAATTATAAGTGGTGTTACATTTCCTGTTAGTATATCATATTATAAAGCATAAAGTATGAGATTACAACATAATAATAGGTATTGAAGAAAAAACTTAATTAAAACTATCTTCCATAAAAATAATATTTATTTGTGAATAAAATTCAAATTTATCATTCTGAAAATACCAATTGTCTCTTCATACCTCTTCACTAAATTCAAGACACCATTGAGTTTTAGGTGACAATATTTAATAACAACTGACTATAATAGTCATAAATATTATTAAATTTATCTATGAGGCCTGATTATAACAAAATGTTTGTATATTACCTAAGTATAATGGAACCAAGACCATAGCAATTGATTATTTGGAAATATTTGCTGGACAGCATTTATAGGAGCATGCAATAACAAGTTATTATTTAAAAAATGGATTCCATTATAATTCAGAGGTAAAATATTGTGAAAGACACTTAATAATGCAGAGTATGTTTCTTACTCCTCAGGATATAAATCATTTGAAATGCCTAAATTGTTCAAAAAAAATAAATATATTATACCATCATATTATCGACAACATTGATAACTGATATTACCAGAAGAAATTCCTTCCTAAACTTTTGTAGAGCATTTGAAATATAAGAAAATATCTTGGCACTTGAGGAAGGGTCTTATACGTTGTTTGTGTAACAAATATGAATATATATTCAGTATAACTTGTATATTTGTATTTCATCAAAACAATTGTGTTAGATAACTTATTTAATGATCCTTAACAGAATACATTAATAATTATTTATTTTACACTAACTGAAGTTATTTCAGTTAAAAATAGATAATATGGTATAATTTAATAATTTTTTAACATTTATTTACAGTAAATCATTAATAGAGGAATGATAATATTATTACACATTATGATAAGAGAAAATATCTTTCGAGATCATGAATGATAAAATAACTATTTATAGCCACGTGAGATACCTACAATACAAAATTTAAAATATCAATGTTTATTCATGTTTGAAAATTTAATTTAAAGACGTAATATAATTTTCATTGAACTTTATTTTAACAAATTAATTAGAAATTTTTATGTATTATTCAATATTTTACAGTTCATACATTATAAGTTATAACTAAGAACATATCATTACCTTCAAATAAGAAACACCCCCATTATCCCAAAATAGAGATTTAAGTTTCCAACTAGTTATCCTATAATAATCCCATTTTCTTTCAGAAGGGATAGGCTTAAACAACATATTGAATATAGTGTGTAACCCTGTAATACAAAGTTAAGTATTTTAGGATGTGTCATCAAAACAGCCATAAAAACAAACAATGTCCATAGTTTACTGCACAATAGTAAATTTACAGTTTTATATAAATTATTAACCAAATCACAAAGTAAAATACAATGTCCCTGTGGAGTGTCATTCTGACTATAGTAATAGAAAAGCTACCGTCTAAAACCAATTTAATCAATGTAGTTATCTAATTTTCTACTATTACAATATTTTTATTACAGCAGTTTGTTGATTATTGCACATTTATATGTGCCAATAAAACACCTATATTGCGCTAATAAATTTATATGAACAACTAGACGCCCAATAATCACGGACGGTGTAACGTTGATGAAACATAATCCGTTCTGGATTCTAATTCGATCTCAATTCGTGATTCGCGATCGTAACGGACATAACAATCAGCTCTGGACCCAGAAAAGCGTGTCCCCCGACACGAAGCGTGTTCCGCGAAAATCCAAGTGCGCCCCCCGAAATGTATGTACCGAATTTAATATTGTATGTATTCGTTTTTAATGTAGAAATGTTTGTGAAGATGATAACGGTCAATTAATGAGATCACTCTATCCGATACATTGGTATTTATTTTAAATTATATTATTTTAGTAATATTGTTTAAACTTTTACTTTTTTTGTGTCGATAATTTTTAGTATACACTTATTAAGGTATAAATATTATTAATGTATAAGTTATGTAGTGACATTATTGTTTAATGAGCTACGTCCTGGCATAGGTTTTTTTTTTTTTGGCTATGAAAATCTATTAACTCTATCGACTGAATTAAAAAGTGTGTCCCCTGAAATCTGATGTATATTTTAGGCCCTGAATCAGCTGATTCGGCTGTTTGTCGAATTTAGAATTTATATGATTGTCCTCTGCGGTATATTTCTTAAAACTCATTCCGGCCGTTTTTAAATTGGCCGGCACTAAAATTTTCCCAAGTCCATACAAATTTATGGTGTTGGAATGGGGCAATTTTTGGTAGTTTGTTAGGTAAAATATGAAACTGATGATTGATTCTGATGCTTATTATGCTGCTGCTGCTGATCATTATTATTATTTAAGTGATGATTATTCTTATT